TGAATTGTAGCTTGGTTGTATACATTTTAGGAGGACAGAAATTACAGAAAACCATAAATCAATGCTTGTGAAATTTACATTGGTTTGGCTTGGAGAAGTGGAACATCTCCATGCAGGAACTTGCAGGGTAAAGATGGATTCAAAGACTTCTTGATTGGCAGTTAGTTCCAAGAATTATGTAAGGAATTTTGAAAGCAGGAAAGGAAATGGGTGGCTTGAAGAATGATAAGGGAATCAAGTTTCTTGATATGTAGATGAAGTCTCATAGGTGGCAGACTTAGAGAGACTAGGTAAATGTCTTAAAAGGTGCCCAGAGTGTAGGAGTCCCCAAGAGACAGCTTTACAGTCCATAAAATACTTTGATTTTGAGTCAGAGTCTCACTCTGTCGCCTAGGTTGGAGTGCAGTGACTCTCTCAGGGCCACCGCAGCCTCAACCTGCTGGACTTAGGAGATCCTTCCGCCTCAGCCTTCCAAGTAGCTGGGACTACAGGCCTGCGCCACCACGCCTGGCTAATTTTTTTATTTATTGTAGAGATGAGGTCTCGCCAAGTTGCCCAGGCAGGTCTTGAACCCGTGGGCTCAGGCAATCCATTCACCTCTGCTTCCCAAAGTTCTGGGATTACAGGCATAAGCCACCACGCCCAGCCATTTTGTTAGCATTTTAAGGCATACATTTGTGTACTACTATAGCTATTTCCCTGGGATAAATTACAAACAGTGAAATTTTGAGTCAAAATCAGACTTTTTGTTAAGTGCCTGCACTACACCAGACCCTATGGCTATTAGGACTTGGGTTAAAGTATGACTAAGGTAACACAGTTGCAACCTGCATGGTGTTTATAATCTAGCAAGGAGGAGAAACTGACAAGAAGAAGCTCAAGACAGCCTGTGACCAAGACCTGCCAGGTGAAGAATGCCAGGTGACTTGCCCAGAGGTGTGCTGGGAAGGGATATCATTCTGAGGACAGCACACTGATGTCAGATTATAACCAAATAATTCTGAATGCACTGACTCTTTGTTGAGGTAGATGGAATTTTTTTCTAAGTTTTATACATCACATATGTTTTCAATGCAAAGTGAAGACTTGCCAGGTAAAATGATTTAGCAGTTGTCTCCTGGTCATCATAACTGAAAGGACAAGTTCACAAGTAAAATGTATACGCCTTTCAAGATATGGAAGGGGCCAGGCGTGGTGGCTCACACCTATAATCCCAACACTTTAGGAGGCCAAGGTGAGAGAATTGCCTGAGTCCATGGGTTCGAGACCAGCCTGAGCAACTTAGTAAGACCTCATCTCTACGGTAAATCAAAAAATTAGCCGGGTGTGGTGGCACCCACCTGTGGTTCCAGCTACTGAGGCGAAAGGATCACCTGAGCCCAGCAGGTCAAGACTGCGGTGGCCATGAGCATGCCACTGCACTCCAGCCTGGGCGACAGAGTGAGACTTCGACTCAAAAATTTAAAAAATGAAAGACATAGAAGCAAACAACCTTGAGATAACTGTCAGTAGCTACAAGGCATCACTTGTAACTTTAGCCATTTGGATCAGTACACCAATATATGTGGTTATATGTAGTTATCAGAGAGTTGGTTTAGGTATTGGGAAGTGAAAGGAAACAAGGGAAAGTTAATTGATTCCAAGTTTATATATTCTAAGCTTTTTCTGCAAGTTTAGAAGTAAACTCTTGGCTGGGCTCAGTGGCTCAGCCTGTAATCCCAGCACTTTGGGAGGCCAAGGCGAGTGGATTGCCTGAGCCTGCACATCCAATATCCACCCGGGCTACTTGGTGAGACCTCATCTCTACAATAAATCAAAAATTAGCCAGGCATGGTAGCGTGCGCCTGTAGTTCCAGCTACTTGGAAGGCTGAGGTGGATCACCGGAGCCCAGCAGGTCGAGACTGGGGGCTGGGAGCATGCCACTGCACTCCAGCCTGGGGAACAAGAGTAAGACTCCAACTCAAAAAAATAAGTAAACTCTTAGAAAAAATTACTTATCTTTTGAGAGTCTAACTGCCTCTGATTAAATTTAAAAGAAATAAATACACATTTAGCTATGTTAAGCAGTGCATGACTGGTTTTGTTTTGTTTTGTTTTGTTTTGGGGGTTTTTTTTTGAGTTGGAGTCTCACTCGGTTGCCCAGACTGGAGTGCAGTGGCCACTCCC